GTGGAGTGAATTGTAAATTCAGAAAATGGCACGATGCTTGTTGTCGCAATGTTAGTGGTGCCCTTATGTGAATTAAATTGACTGTGTGTGCAACTGCTGGTCTGTTGGTGACTTCTGCTACTATTAATAATGAACTGCATTTATAATGTGGGACTGTTTATGTTAGCACTTCATATAGCTACGTATGCTTTTACTGCATGTGTATGCTAGATATGCTGAGACAACAGTCTGTCCTTCTTTCCACAACTGACTGTGATAAACATACTGTTTACTTTTTCGTTGGCAGAAGAGCGGTGCAACGATGGGGTGACCCGTTTGCTATGAAGCTGAAACTAAGACTACCAACCTACCTGATTCATAGCAACTGGATTCTGCTCCCAACAGCTCCTATCAAGCGTGACAACACAGGAAAAGGTGCAGTTAAGCACCTGGGGCACAGATACTTACATGGTATTCATATTGAATAGTCTCACTTTGAATCACCGAGTGTTTATAGCCGTTTGTGCGATCTGGGTGGGGTTGAAAGTCGATGTTGTATGTGTGTATTTTTTCACTAAGTCGTTCCCTTGTGGGATGAAATTTTTGGTAATTTTGAAACCCCACCCATGCTGTTGCCAGTGGCCCTAATATAACATAACGGTTCAACGGGGTTTCCAGGACCCGAGGGTGAACCTCATCCGCATGGTGACACTTTGTGTTAGCGGGTGTTTATCGCTCTCTGTGATGTCCTGGTGGGACACAATTTATTCACTACTGTTGTATGTGAAGGTGACTTTGATTTGAAAAGAGTTATGAAGCGAGGGCTTGGTAAGACATGGGTATACGCAGTCGTTCGTGGTGTGTTGACGAGGTGTCAATGTAACCATTTGTGGCTACAGTCAGTCACTTGCATAGTATTCATCTCGACTTGTAATATGGGAAGATAATTTATTTTATTTTAAAGTCCCCAACATGGCTGTCGACTGGGGCCCTAATAGAACTTAACGGTTGAGATCGGTTTATGGGACTTGTACCTGGGGGACCTTCATCTGAATGGTGTCACTAGGTGTTAATCGCTTGTTGTGCGGTCTTGGAGGATTAACGTCACTATCTCAAAAAGTAAGTAAAGATCCATTTTCATACATTTAGTCGCATCGGGCATATTAGGAGAGCATCCAAATTTCTACAGACCAATCGGCACTGGGTGGGTAATGTTGTCAGCATTACGCCGGCCGTCTTTACTTCCCCAGGACATACATCTTGGTACCCATTTTAGGCTGGGTCGACCTGCGACACCGCATACCATGATAATAATCCACGCAGCCAAAAGTGTTTCGATCGCGGTAAGTTGGAATTACTGGAATTACGAGTCGGACTCGCAACGCCTAAGCCACGGTCGCTGCACTCTCTCAAATACTTATTCGATTATCCATATTCAAACACTGCGTCAACCCGCCACCCAACCACTCGTTAAACACTCACTAAGCGACAGATGGTGTAGCGACTAGTGTCTCTAACCCAACAGAGTGGTAGGTGCAGCTTTACTAGACAAGAAACAAGAAACCGATAAGGTAGGTTTTGGGTTATCAGTCATAACTAATTTCAATTAAAAAAAAAGCACATAAATAATTTCTATTTTTTTTTTTAAATGAATAAAAAAAAAAAAAAAAGAAGCAAACAATTATTTTGAAAAAAATTGTGGAAGGATGAGTTGGGGGCGGGGCCTAATGTTGCCCCCCCCCCCCTTTTTCATTACCCAATAATTTTGTAACAGGGCTAAGGGGCCCGTCTTTAACCACGTATATACATTATAGATAGGTAGGTAGCTGTACCCCACCAGGACTTCACACAAGCGATAACCACCTGGTGAAAGTGCCACCATGCGGATGAGGATCACCTGTGGAGAGGTCTTAGAAACCCTTTCAGCCGTTACGGCTATATCTATGGCCTAGGCCATATATATAGCCTATATATATTCAGGGGTCGGCTCTGTGGCTAAGTCGATGCCGGGGTGCCGGGCTCGATCCCAGCTGCGGGCCATGCGCCTTGCGTTCGTTTCGACAGTGGTATCAGGGGCCGACCGGTTAGTCGCAATGGCAAACTACTGGACGTAAATTTGCCTAGAGAAACCACACAACAGCCAGGGGCTGCTGGGGTTGGTTCTGCAACGTCCTGTAAAGGATACGTAACTAACCTATATCAGGGCCCCCAGAAGACGCCAGGGTGATGCTTCGAAAAAAAAAAAATTGCATCCCACATGTGGACGACTTTTTAACACAAGAAATTATATTTTAAAATATTTGATTATACATTTCCTTTTATTTCGGGTATACTATAACATGTATTTGCCATTCAAGACATTATCGTTTTGTTGTTGTTGTTGTTGTCGTTACTGTTTTTAATGTGCTGAATAGTAAATGAATATATCATTAATAACAATTACATCCCAAGATGGGACGCAATATTTTTGGGTATTTTAAAGCCTCATTCCGGCTGTTGTCAGGAGCCCTAGTGTAACCTAACAGTTGAACGGGGTTTCTGGGACTTGCTCCCGGGCGATTCTCATCCGATTGGTGGCTCTTTGCGTCATCAAGTGTTAATCGCTTGTCTTGGTGTTCTGGTGGGGTTCAACGCCATCGACTCAAATAAATATAACTACATACTTAAAGTAACGTGAAATGCATAGAAACAAGTATTGTTTAAAAAAAATAAACATTGTAATACATGGTTAGAGGGTGCCTCTACAAATTTACTGAGTCCAGTGCCTGTTTAGTTAAATGTAAATATAAATACAGATGTCTACTAATACATGCACACATATATATATATTGAAAAGAATCCCTTAAAGGGATTATTAGCATATTGTCACTTACAGCTAGGCTGTGATAGTTGTACCTTTCAGTCTGATTTCAGCAAATCCTTAATTTCATCGTATGAGATGCTACGTTGTAGTGTAGCAGCTTGACGATCGCCTGCTGATCGGAAAGTCGTGGGTTCCGGTCCTGACGGGGCCAGACTTGTTTTAAAAAGGACTTTGGCTCCTAGGTCGACCCAGCCTTCAGTGGGTACCAGGTGCAATCCTGCGAAGTAAAGGCGGACGGCGGGATGTTGACCACATCACACACTCAAGTTCCGATTGGTCTATAAAATATAGGTCAAGCCCTATTTGGCCAATACGCATGAAGGCATGGAAAAGGGTCCTTGCTTTGCTTGTCTTTTATGACATGCTTGATTAGGGGGAGTGTGTAATAATAATAACACAGCCATTAGGTCCACTAATCAACCAGCACACATGAAATAACTTCATATTATTTGTTCAGTTATGTAATAATGTATTAGAAATTACTTACTTTAAAAAAATAACGATAATTTTGGATTACTAATATGTTTGATATGTAAATGCTATTAATAATTATTGTTATAGCAGCAATGGGACCTGACAGCTCTATTCATTAACCACACAACAGTATGTGGTTTCCGTGGCATTTAAAGAGTTGTTTTTCCCCAAAATGTTGTTATATTCCCTCCTGTTAGTTGTATTAATCGACAGTCATAGTGCATATAGTTGTGATTATATGACAAACTATGTTTATAAAATAGTGCCTTTTTTATTCTGCTGGGTGTTTCTACGATGAACACATTAATATATGAAGAAGAAGGAGGAGGAAGAGATGAAGAAGAAGGTGGTCGAGAAGGAGGAGGAGAAGAAAAAGAAATATGTTAATAATTACTTTTCATTTTCAGAATTTAACAGAAAAACAAACATGCGCAGATCAGAAAATGCGTGTTTCAGAGCTGTGACTGCAGTTTTTGCTGTTAGTGGGATAATTCTATATGGGACAACCAGGCAAGTATCTACAAATAGGACGTTGATAACAATGTTACAAGGCGCGAATTATGTTCAAACAGTGAACAGAAGAAATCATCGTAAAACTGCAGTCGACAAACCAAAGTCCTAATAGCTTGGCCACGGAGAAACAATTCCGTCTCAATCTGACTCTACATCTCTTTCTCGCTTAAGCCCTCTCCCTCTCTCTCTCTCTCTCTCTCTCTCTCTCTCTCTCTCTCTCTATCTCTCTGTGTGCGCTTGTGTGTGTGTATGTGTGTGTGTGTGTGACATAGGGGGAAATATACTAGGCACACTCAGAGATGAAATTAGTAAAGAATTACAAAACAGTCACTTAAATGGGAAAAGAACAGTCTGAGAAAAAGAGGATGTCAAAAGAAACATTAGGTAGGTAGGTAGGTAGCTGTACTCCACCAGGTCATCACACAAGCGATAAACACCCGGTGACACAAAGTGCCACCGTGCCATATATATATATATATATATATATATATATATATATATATATATACATATATACGTATATATACACACACACACATATATGATTGACACCTCTCCGTCTTTCCTGACGATAGTGTTATATTACGCTATGTGGAGGCATGGGACTTACAATTTATGGCGATGGTGAGCGTGTGACTAGAACGCGCCCGCGTTAAGAAAAGTCTTCCACAATTATCGCATCGGATTTTAGGACAATTGTTGCCAGCCGACATTTGTGTTTAGTTTGTTTCTTCTCCTTTCTTTTGGTATTTTCTTCCTTCATTCTCATTCCCTTCCTGATGCGACCGCTCCACACAACACTGTCCATGTCATTTTGTTCCCACCAGTCCATCTCAATACCTATATAATTAATTTCTCGCTTGCACACGTTTTTATATCGTAGTAGAGGTCGGCCTCGACAAATTCTACCTATCTGTATTTTACCATACAATATATATATATATATATATATATATATATATATATATATATATATATATATATATATATATATATATATATATATCAAAACTATGATAAATCACATGTGACCCTTCAGAATGATCTCACCATGGAACTTACTGCCGCGTATTTCTGAGGAACATCGGAGCCGCTTTTCCTACCAAGAGCATCAGAACTACTGGGTTATTCCTGGCGATGACTCATCATTGCGCCCACTTATAAATTCAAGCATGCAAGTGTACATAGATCTCAACAAATTACGCGAGGTAAGTATTCAAAACACAAGTCTATATTTGATAAAGCTAAGAATGCAGACAAGCGGTATCCGTGGATTAGGCGTTGCGAGTCCGACTCGTAATTCCAAGTACCGAAATCGAAACCCACTGTATTCTACAGGATGCAAATCTGTGGATGTAGGTAAAAGAGGAGGGAGGGGAGGGGGGGGGGGTAGCTACCTAAAGAAAAACAAGTTGAGAAAATGGTTTAGCGGGAATTAGTAGAATAAATAAGTGTTCAATCAAAATATCAGACAACTTTCAGGATTGGTGCGTGGAAGATGACGGAAAAAGAAGAAGAAGAAGAAGAAGAAGAAGAAGAAGAAGAAGAAGAAGAAGAAGAAGAAGAAGAAGAAGAAGAAGAAGAAGAAGAAGAAAAGGAGGAAAAAGAGAAGGGGGAGTAGGAGGTGGAGAAAGCCACGAACAATACTGTCAAGAATGCATAGGAGCAATTGGGGAAATTATTTTTTAAAAAATATCTAAATAAAAAAAAAACAAGTTGAGAAAATGGTTGAGCGTGAATTAGTAGAATGAATAAGTGTTTAATCAAAATATCAGACAACTTTCAGGATTGATTCGTGGAAGATGACGGAAAAAGAAGAAGAAGAAGAAGAAGAAGAAGAAGAAGAAGAAGAAGAAGAAGAAGAAGAAGAAGAAGAAGAAGAAGAAGAAGAAGAAGAAGAAGAAGAAGAGAAGGAAAAAGAGAAGGAGGAGTAGGAGAAGAAATAAGGAGGAGGTGGAGAAAGCCACGAACAATACTGTCAAGAATGCATAGAAGCAATTAAGGAAATTATTTTTAAAAAAATATCTTTTACCAGTGTTTCGCAAGTTAGATTCATAAATCAAATGCCAGTCGTCACTCAGCTGGTTTTGGGGTCAACATAATGCCGCCCGCCACGCTACTAGACTGGGTAGGTCAGTGATAAGAATTTTGTTTGTTTTAGTATCCCTTAGGCTCGGTATTATGGATATCGCAACCTTTCGGCCTTGATTCCATTGTTGCATAACCAACCCTACCAGCCCCTGGCTGTTGTGTGGTTTTGTCTAGGCAAGTTACATCCAGTAGTTTGCCATTGCTTCCTGGACGGTCGGCCCTTTCTTGATACCACTGTCGAAACCAACGCAAGGCGCATTGCCTGCAGCTGGGATCGAACCTGGCATCCCGGCATTACGAAGCGAAGCGTTCGCATTGACTTAGCCACAAAGCCGACTGACTCCGTTGTAAATACCGTAAATCTGGGAGAAAATGTGACTTTCCTGCCTACCCCAGGGATTGAACCACAAGGAGTTTGTCACGCAGTCTCTGCGCAATCTGGTTTAGCCAACTACGCTAGCGAGCCGGGCACATAATAACTTCACATAACATAAGTAGACACTTGTGCATTGTCATTGACCAAAGAAAATATTGCAAAAAGGGGATCTTACACAATTTGGGGGGTAGTGGCCTCAACGTCTTGTTTAACTAACTAATAATAATAATAATAATAATAATCTTATTAGTAATTATGTGCTGAGTGACCAAAAATACTATGCAGTATTTTTTATTTTAAACACACTGAAACCATGAGTTGTTAACCCTTTGACTCGGTACTATGAATATCACAATCCTTCGGCCTTGATTCAATGATAGGTACTGTAAATCGGACAGAAATGTGGCTTTTCTACCTACCCCCGGACGTGAACCCAGACCACAAGGAGTTCGTCACCCAGTCGTCGCGAAGTCAGATTTAACCAACTACACTAGAGAGCCGGGCGCTGTATATAAAATATTACTTTTTTTAGTTAGTGTGTCTGATGCAAACATAAAAGAGAATGCCAATACATATTTGGGAGAGGATAAGGCTTAGTTTAGTCCCTTCGCAAATGTAGGGTTGAAGATGGGCCACAAGTTGCTCAAGACAATGCACTAGCGACCAGTACTTTCTTCTCATTACATAAAGTGTTCATTAGAGTTACCACATAGCACTTTCTCCACTGTGTCTGTCGATATTGATGACATAGCAAGTGAGACAACAGAACAAGGAATGCAGAGAATCGCAAGAGGATCCTTTTACCATGTTCAAAAGCCGGCCCTCCAATACCACAAAATTTACAGCAGAAATGGATTTGAAACGGATGGAGCTTGCTTTCATGTGAGTATAGCTTATTTTCTTCAGAACTTTTCTGTGCTCATTTGTCTTGCATAGTTTACAGTCTGGACCACTCCATCCGCGTTAGCGCAGTCGATAAGAGGCTGCGACACGCTGCAGCCCACAGTCGGTGTTCGAAACCGGGTGACTCCCCGGGTTCACTCAGCCTCTAGGAAATAGGTACCAGAGTTGACACTCTGGGGTAAATGGAGGAATGTCGCTGTAGCTACAGAGTTACGTGCGAACGGCGACACATGCGGACAATTCTTATCCGTACTGGTGGCAGAGCACTTATGGTTTATAACCGTGTGCAATGACGCTGGTTCACATCTACCGACTTTACCTTTACCTTTTACCACTCCATCCATCTCTTCATTCCACCATCTCCCTGTCTCTGTTTCTCTCACTGGGGTCCTATTGGAGCAATGATGAGCAGCACAAATGACTCTTAATGTTTATTAGCCTCTCTTGATCAAGTGTGTCCATGGAAAACACTGCCATTTAAAGAGACAGGGAGACTAGGCAAATAACAGCACTTTTCAGCGGACTTTGAACTTTTAGAATCGACATTGTACGGGAGCAAAGTTAGCTGGAAGATCGGATTTAATTAGTGTCTGATCATAAACCTAATGAGGCATGACCAAAGTGACAACGAACAAAGACACCTGTTCTGGATTTCAGAGCCTTTCCAGGGTAAATAACCGCAAAGGCCATTTCCAGTTAAATTTGCATCCTGGCGATAAACACACAGGTTACAGATCTTATGTAATTGAGGTTTTGAGGTTTTGAACAACTGATCAACATCCGGGCACACGGTTAGTAACCCATAAGTGCTAAGTTCTTTTTCTAACACAAGTCTGATTCCGAAGAAGGTCAGCACAGTGCACAGGTTCTGTAGCACCGGCGAGGATCCGGAAATACTTTGGGTAGATATTTAACTCAAAATTTTGCCCAGGCAGCGCCATTAGGCTACTATTTTCGATTTCTAACTGCCAAAGGATTTTTTACGTGCGCAACAATACACACAGGCGTCTGATCCCACTACACAGAGACCAAGGGGAATGACTAGAAGTCCAAGTCCACATGAAAACATCCCAGCCCTTACCAGGGATTGAACCCGGACCTCTAACACTCGAGGCACACACCTGTCATCGCAATCACGCAGCTTTCCTAAAGTTCTTATGTAAACTTATTTTAACAAAGAGGAGAAAGCAGAAGAGAAATATAGGCAAAATGCAAAGGCTGAATTCACCCTGAGGAGGGATATATTCTACCTTCTTTTACCCCACCAGGACATCGCACAAGCGATAAACACCCGTTGACACGAAGTGCCACCATGTAGATGAGGATGACCCGTGGAGAGGTCCCAGAAACCGCCTTCAGACATTAGACTATATTTATGGTCGGGCTTTATTGCGGTCCCCGGCAAGAGCCAGTGTAGGGCTTCTAATAACGAAAAACTGCATCTCACGAGGAGATGGCTGGAATAGAGTGATACATTGCTCGCAAGTCTCACCTACAGCCAGAGCATTGGGACACATACTCTGACTGAGACTACAAGAACCATATTTTTGGGTGTAAATAAAACCTGGCGGGCGATGATGATGTAAATTGATTTGATTTGATTTGATTCAAGAACCGACATCACAGCACTCGGGGCATTCCCATAAGCGCTCCGTCCCCATCTTCAGCAGCCAGCGAAGAGTTCCGATTGTAATGGTGCCAATTCCTTTCTGATTAAACGTCCGTCTTGCCTTTCCTCCGAGCCTCGAGCATCTGCCGGAACCCCTCTTCACCCCCAACTGCATCAATCTCACCAGACTGCTCCATCTGCTCCTCTGAATTGTACACGCTCTCCCACAAGGCACTAACCACGTCTGCCCTATAATGTAGCAGTATTCCACCAAGTTGTGCAGAGCCTGCCAGTCTGTCCGTCTGTTAATTTCCCAACACACCGGCATAACCCGGTAAAAAAAACCAGACAATACTCCTCACTCGTGTCCTCCGCTGCGAAGCATGCCACTCTGCAAGAAGCATTCCTGTTCTGATCTTCCTCAGCATGCTTTCTGAATCAGTTACAATCACGATGTGTGTGTGTGTGTGTGTGTGTCTTGTTTTTTAGCCAGCGGAAAGCTGCAGTGACCGCCTCCACCTCAATTCCTAAGCTGAATGTTGTGGAATCATATGCTAGGCTCTCCTGCACCAAATGTCGACCATTAACTTTTGCTAAGAAGCCCCAAACACTTTTTTTGCCTCTTGACACTGAACAGTCTATGTAAATGATTGATGATTGAAATGAGAATGTATATCAGAGAATCTATTAAATTTCTATGAATGTCTTGTAAGTAGTATTTATGATTGTATAACTGTATACTGCAATGTGGATATTTTCACACAGGGATTCCCTTGGTAAGAATTGGGGAGGAAAGGGGGGGGGGGGGTCCTCGAGATACGCCAGAAACAAAGAAATAATGCAAATACTCGTAGCAGAGTAGACAGACAAGCCCTTGAAGCCACGTGGAAATCAGCACAAGTTTATAAGATTAGGTTAGTTGCGTATCCTTTACAGGACGTTGCAGAACCAATACCAACAGCCTGTGGCGGTAGTGTGGTTTTTCTAGGCAAATTTACGTCCAGTAGTTCGCCATTGCTTACTGGACGGTGGGCTTTCTTGATACCACTGTCGAAACCAGAGCAAGGCGCATGGCCCGCAGCTGGGATCGCGCCTAGCATCCCGGCATTACGAAGCGTTCGCATCAACTTAGCCACAGAGCCGACTTATAATATTAGACAAAGGTGTAATCAGGCGGCATGTGTTGGCCAGCTAGAGCAAAAGCGTGTATTTGATGTTCAGCCTGAATGTAACAGTGTATTTAGCGTCGAGAGAAGGAAGACTACAAAATGATGGCTTGACGACAACCCAATTCAATCAGATCCAGAAGCTTGAAACCAAGAGGATAACGACAGGAGCAGCCCTGACGTGTATTCTCATGTGAACATTGAAAGCGATTGAGTGTGAGTGCGAAAATACTTGACGTGTATGTCTGAACAATGTTATATTCTATTGCTGGACTTGCTGATTAATATCTGACACTGACTGAACAGATCGTAAGTGATAAAGTGTAATAAAAGTATATCAATGAGCTATTGTCTTCTCTTAACACCTGTGTCTACTTAGAGTGTCAATCATGTCTTCAATAAAAACAAACCCCTAGAAACTAGCTAAGACACGGAGACAATATCCCATATACGGGTAAACATATAGCACATGTTGGGTTAATGAAGACTGTTAAATGAGAAATAAGAAAAAAGAGGAAGAAGAAGACATTAGTCTTATAAAGAAAGGTTAATTGTTTTGTGAGGAAACTTATAGTTAAAGAATTCCATGATTTCACATTCAATCGTTTTTACAATCAATAATCTAATATAGGTGTGGTGGAGTCTTGTACACAGAATTTCTGGCGTCGCCACCCAGAGAAGAACTTTACCCGTTTGAAATCTTTTATCTTTCTGACCCACCATTATGGGATGAGAGTACAGTGGCGAGCCACCAATATTCAACAATAGGTCTTTATAGATCAAAGTATGTAGACTGTCAGTGACTATTTAAACTTTTCTTAAATTACTGAGCTAGAACAATTTTATTGATGAATGTATGTGTAATAATGCTCTGTCTAGTTTCTGTCTGGGCCCATGAACACTCTGATCTTTCCTTGATACAGTTGTTATATTAGTATTAACACAGAAGATGAAGACACGCCCATCGTCGATTATAGATTCTTTATTGCGGGGGGTTAGCAAAAGAATTCTTGCTTGCTACATACATCAAATTTCAACATACGGTTGTGAGTCCTGGACAATCGGTAGGCAGGCCAAACAATTTCTTGAGGCCTCAGAGAAGTGGTTTTTACAGAAGAATGCTTAAAATACCTTGGACAGCCAAAAACTGATGAACTGATTTCTTTCTGATTCCGTGAGTCGCGGCATTATAGTATCACGGCAGCTAATTTAGATCTAAATGCCATGGACCGTGTTGTGTGGAAAGGGCATATCAGGAAGGGAATGAGACTAAAGGAAGAAATGATTACAGAAAGGATGAGAGCTGAGCGTCTGAAAAAAAAAAAAAAACGGATTAAACAGAAATGTTGTTAACAATGGTCCTGAAATCCCATGCTCTCATTGTGGAAGAATTTTCTTGATACGGACAGGTCTTGCTAGTCACAGGCGCCATCGCCATGTTCTGTGAGTCTCATGCCCCCTCATCGCGCAATATAACAGTATTGTTTGGAAAGACGGAAATGTGCCAGTGAGTGAATTTAGATGTAGCTATAGCAAATTTAGCGCGGAGATATAATCTTTACAAACAATGAGGTAACATTTATTTTAGGTTCTTTTTCTGTTCTCGCAACATAGATCTATCCTTCGCTATTGCATGCAGGTCCCCACCACCCTTCTTTTTCTTCTTCACATACACCTACTATAAATTCTTGAGGTAAATGTTGGTTGTTTGTCCGCTTCTGGACTTTAATCTAGTTCAAGAATTTGAATTTGGGTGCACACCCGTCTTCAATACCTTATGCAGACTGATGGTTTCCTGTCTTTCATGTACATGGACTCTAACTTTGAAGGAAACCCCCTAATTAGTCGACTCTCGTGTGACATGCATGTTAGGTAGCCGGTGGCCCTATTGCCATCCTCTCATATACATATGAGTGCATGTATTTATATAAATATATATGTGTGTGTATGTATATATATATATATATATATATATATATATATATATATATATATATATATATATATATATATATATATATATCTCTCTTCTGATTCAGTACGACATTCGTACGATAGTACGACACACATACACACACACACACAGATATACATACACACACACACACACACCCATCCAGCCATCCATCCATCCATCCATCCATTCTTCCATCCATCCATCCATCCATCCATCCATCCATCCATCCATACATACATACATACATACATACATACATACATACATACATACATACATACATACATACATACATACATACATACATACATACATACATACATACATACATACATACATACATACATACATACATACATACATACATACATACATACATACATACATACATACATACATACATACATACATACATACATACATACATACATACATACATACATACATACATACATACATACATACATACATACATACATACATACATACACACATACATACATATGTGTGTATTATGTATACAAATATATGTATGTATATGTATGTATATATATATATATATATGTGTGTGTGTGTATAAATATACAAATGAGTGCATGTATTTATATAAATATATATGTGTGTGTATGTGTGTGTATATATATATATATATATCTTTTGATTCAGTACGACATTCGTGGTCGGTGACCACGTGTCAGTGGTCATCAAAATGTTTGACAGAAAGGGTAGACCACGACTGACAGGGGGAGACAGGCTAAAAGTTTGGCTGAAAGATATGAAGTTTCAGCACAGCATAGGCGCCAACATTACCGATTTCAACAATGGGACCTACATGGCAACAACAGTTCTGCCATGGGCAGGAACTGTGAGGTATGTGTGTCTTAAAAAAAGTTGCAATCCATGTTTAGTACTGTTTAGGTGAAAATATGGGGGTGACTGCAGTCAAGCTAATACAAGGAATTCCAGAGAAATTTGACTAAAAAGCTCAACAAAATGGGGAAGCTGAAAAACTGGCACAAAACACATGTATTGAAGATAGATAGATAAAAAAACACACATACACATTGTTTTCTGCCCGTTTTTCTGCTTCCCCATTTTGTTGAGCTTTTTAGTCAAATTTCTCTGGAAGTACTGTTTAGTGCCGGTGTATAACAAGAAGAGAGTACTGAACCTGAAAGTTTAGGGCCCTGTAGCACAGGACAGTCCACGATCCAAAACGGGAGACACATCACAAACACAGGGGGCAAAGAGACACTCACTTGCCCCTCTACACTCCGTGTACACACACAACACACGCACACACACATACACACATGCACACACACACGCACACACACGCACACACATACACACATACACACACATACACACATACACACACATACACACTCATACACACATATACACACACACACATACACACACACACACACACACACAAACATTCACCATTACATTAACACACACAGACACTAAAAAAAAAAACACACACAAACGTGTGTTTATTCAACTACAGAATCAATTCCTTATATTAAAGTGAATGACCCCTTCCCACGTTGTTCTATTCTACTAACTTTTCCATCTGTGACAGCTGCCTATACCAAAGTGTGATACTGCACTCTGCAGTTATGCTTTAACTAACTCCCATTTGTTTCCTGAGTTACCTTTTTTTTCCGAGTCGTTAACAGTTGATTTTTTTTTTCTCTCTACTGTTCCATAGTCCATGTCTTGCGGCATTGGTTGTCACGTCTATGCTCGTGTTATTTCAGTCAGTTCTGACACAGTCTCCTCTATCAGTCTCCCTCTGCCTCTCCTCCGCTCCACCTCACCCACCATTAAGATGTGCTGCAGGTTTCTCCTTCGCTTGACATGATCAACGCATGTAGATTGCTTCCTTTTGATGTGGGCGATCAGTTATCTTTGTGAGTCATTTTTTGTCATCACGCCTCTTTTTATCAGCCACGGTGTTTTCATCTTTCATCTATATAACCACATATCTGCCACCTGCACATAATTTGTTAGTAACAAGCTAGCTGACCATGCTTCACTTCTGTAAGTGAGGATAGCATTTATTTAGCTCTTGTGAATTCTCTTTATCACCGTTAACTATTTTGTTCAAAATATTTGCAGGATTTTCCTTACACGTTAATTAGCCCCCCCCCCCCCCCCCCCCCCCCCCCTCCTTCACCAAGACAGAACTAACATTTAAAAAAATGTTTATATTATATTTTAAGTAGGGTTATTCTACCGGTAATACACTGTTAATTACATGCTGCCTACTTCACTTACAAGTTCACGCCTTTTCTTCTTTTCTCTACATCTGGAATGTCTTGATGCATCAGGGTAGGAAGAGATCTCTGGAATGAGTCCTTCTGTTCGCTTCCTATAAAGTACTTTTCAATGTCTCGGATCTTTCTTCGGTCCATATTCTCACTAGTCGACCTCTGGCTCTGTTATCGCTGTATCTGTATAATATTGCTCTTTGTGTTCCCTTGTCTGATGCCAGTCGTGTTACATGGCCAAACCATTTGATTTATTCTCTAGCTATAAAGTTCAGTATTGGTTCTGTCCCGACTCTGTAGTTGATACCATCGCTCCTAAGTCGATGTTTCCTCGCTACAACTAGTATAGTAGGTAAACATTTTATTTCTGCCCTGACTGTTTTCCTTCTGTCTTCTGAACACAGTTTCCACGTTTGACATTGAAAACATTGCGTTGGTAAGAATATTTCGCTTGACTTACAACTGTACAGACCAATCAGCATCTGTTCGTGATGCGGTCAGGATCACCTTTGCCACATTTAGTTCTCAGGACATAATATTGTAGCCATTTTTGGTTCTATGGACGAGTGAAAAAGTAAAAGTAAAGATCCCTTTCCACACCTTTAGGCGTATCGGGCATATAGGAAGAGCGCCCATATTTTACAGACCAATCAGCTCTCGGTGGGTAATGTTATCAGCATTACGCCGGCTGTCTTCACTTTCCCAGGACAGCTGTGGACGAGTACGCCAAGCTAAATTTTGTTTTTTCCAAATCCGCCCGGTACGGATTTGAACCAAGGACCTTCGGGTAAGCAAGCGAGCTTCTAACCACTATGCTACATGGTTCCTATTCTGATTAGTGTAAAATTACATATTCGTAAGCTTAGCTTTTAGCCGTGAGTCCGCATAAGATTGAGGGTATCAAGAAACTGATGTGTTTCAATCCACAGAGTTATGGCCACTTTAAGACAGTCCAGAGAATTTTTCAGAACACTGGCTTATGTGCACAGGGTTTTTAAATGCACAACCCCTTTCTATGGAGCTTATTCGAATTCTCAGGTAAAAGTTTCATACTGTGAATCAAAATTTGTTAACTGGAGTATACAGGTTATGTACACCTGCTACCTAGAAGAAATGACTCGCTCTGTGACTTGGTAAATATTATACTAGCTTGCGAAGACATCGGTTGGATCGATTCTCTACCCTCGCTATTTGTAGATTCTATATTCCTGATCAGTTCTATTCTTAGATAAACTTCATCATCATCATTATGTGCCCTTTAACTGACGAAGGCGCTCACGCGTCTCTACAGATCACGATCCCTGGTTGACTGGAACAGTTCTCTGGATGATATCCCTTCATGCCATCGCTTTAGCCCGCCCAGCATCATCCCTCTTGGTCTGCCTCTACCCCTTTTTCCACTGATCTTTCCAGTTGTCACGATGTTTTCCAATGTCTCCCTTCTCATTTATGTGGCCAAAGAACAGTGTTTGTCTCTTTCTTATTGTTGTATAAAGAGATCTACTTTCATTAGCCTCTTTCAAGCAATCGTTGTTAGTTACTCTGGCCGTCCAAGGTATTCGTAACATTCGTCTCAGAAACCACATCTCTCCTGCTTCCAAATTCTTCTTAATTTGTTCAGTTACATTCGAAGATTCGCAGCCATACAGCGGAACAGGTTCTATGTAACATTTTAGCACCCTCTTTCTGACATTAAAAGAGCGATATATTTTATTGCATAAGATGTTTTTCAATTTCTGAAATGCAACTTTCGTTAGACCTATTCTGCTTCTAATCTCTGTCACACATTTTCCATCTGATGATATGATTGTTCCCAGATATTTCTTCTTCTTCTTCTTCGCCTTCACCAGCTGTACACTCTGGTGGAAAGTTCTGGTTGCTTGTCAACTACTGAACTGCAGTCCTGCTCCAGAACCTGAGTGTTGCGTGTGCATCAGTTTTACAGATCTCATTTTCTTGAATACAGACTGTTGGTTCCTTGCCTCTCCGGCAGATGCACTCCGACTTCAAAGGAAGCTCCCCAATTAGTCGACTCTTAAGACATGCTTTTGGGGAGGCAGTTAGTCTATTCTTGTTTTCCCCATAATTGGGTCCCGGAACCCACACGGGGGACCCAGATATTTAAATGTACTGTCTTGATTAAGTCTTGTTCCGTCAACTGAGACATCATAACGATATAACTATTACTTCCCTTTTCTTAATATTCAAACTAAACCTTATATAATGTAAAGCACAACTTAACCTTATATAATGTTTAAGCACAACTTAACCTTATATAATGTTTAAGCACAACTGTAAGTATTATCTGGTCAAATCTACACCCTCTAGGGATGTTAAGGTGGTCTTGCATTCAATTTTACTTGTTCCTGCAGAGAGACACTGTTGTTATTTGGAGGTAACGTTTTTCGACCTACGGTGTCCTAACTATACCTTTTGATCTCGTCTATGTTTCTACTCCACCGTTTTTCGAATTATGGTATTCTAACTATACTTTTGATCTTGTTGTCTATAATTCTACTCCAACCCCCCCCCCCTACCCCATCCCCGCCCCTTCTTTCCCATTTGTGCAAATCGATAATATCAGTCTATTTGTTACACTGTTTCTGTACATCTGGAGTTCACCGACTGACTGACTGACTTTCTACCCCACCAGGACATTTCACAAGCGATAAACACCCGATGACACAAAGTGCCACCATGTCGATGAGGATCACCGTGGAGAGGTTCCAGAAACCGCGTTCAGCCAATTGACCATATTTATGGCCTAGCTATATTGCGACCCCTGGCAAGAGCCAGGGTAGGGCTTCAAATAAGGAAAAATTTCGTCCTAAAAAAAGAACTGCAAATAACACAATAACGTAATATTCTGGAGTTCACCGCTTGCTTACTTCTGTTAATTAGGTATTATCTGCAAAGCAAGGTTGGTGAGTAGGGAAGCTTCCTGCACCTTTGCGATGTTCTATAAATCTGTATACTTTCCCCATCTCTATAGCTGCATTGTTCTGTTAATATACATTTCATAATTAGTACTAAGATATGTCAAGGGAAGCATCTAACACTGCACAGTATAGTAATTAAAACTGTATCACTATATATAGCAACCCATGACTTTCAAATTCGTTGCAACATATTTTCGTCTTTGAGCACTTAGGGATTACTTCCCTTATACCATGATGGTCCGTTGTTTAAATCTTCGAGGGGGGCTGCGTTGTCTTGAGGCATGGTGTCCGCCTCGGGTGCTAGGGGTTTCGGGTTCAATCCCGGGTAAAGGCTGGAATTTTTGGACGGGGACTTGGACTTCTAGTAATTCCCCCTGGTCTTTGGGTAGTGAGATCTGTGTGCATTGTTGCGAATGTAAAAAAAAAAAAACCTTGGTAGCTGGAAATCGAAAAGAGTAGCATAAAGGCTCTGCCCGGGCAAAATTAGGAGTTAAAAGTCTAACTAAAGTATTTCAGGATAATCGCCGGTGCCACAGAGCCTGTACACCGTGCTGAGCTTCTTCAGACTCAGACTTGATTTAGAAGAAGAACGGAACATTTATGGGTTATTACCCGTGTGCCATGATGTTGATCTGTTGTTCAAGCTTCAAACTTCAAACTTTTGACCCTATGTCGCAACCCTTGCCACATATCCATACTATAGAACAGAAAATGCAAGTGCCATTATGACCATGTCCTGAACTCCCAAACGGATAACAGTAGTGACCTGGAATTGCAAATGTCATTCTGGCTGCCATATCTAGGTCAGCTGTATTACTGTCAACTTCATACTGTGAATATTATTATCACACTTGCCTCTTTGACTTGCACTGACAATCAAAATTATTAAGGGGCAGGTGCTATCCCTCTTTCTAAGTCACAGGCTTTAGTTTTACTAAAGAGTGCTTCCCTCATTGGCATGTATCTGTGGGCGTTTCAAGAGTGAGGGGTGCCTCTGTTTTGTTCATCATAGCCGATGATCAAAAGACTAAAAAATAGTGTATATAGCCAAGTATAAAAATAGATTTGTGACAACGAGATAAATACAAATAATTATTATAAATAAAACATGAGCTTTAAACTATTCTGGTTAATTACCTTACTAAACGTCGTCCCTATGTGAAATGCAATTTTTCTTTATTTTGAAGGCCCCCCCCCCCCCCCCTCAAAACATACAAAACAGCCTTTACGATCCCATTAGACAACTAGTAAATAAACAGTGGGGCAAAATCCATTCAGAACATTTGTATCTTGTAATGACAACTAACTAAATGTCATTTATATGTTAACTAACTAAACATCTACATTTTTATCATATGACAACTAATTAAATATTTTTTTTTTTTGATTTTATGACAACTAACTAAACATCTACATTTTTATCGTATGACAACTAACTAAATATCTTTTTATCATATGACAACTAACTAAATATCTTTTTATCATATGACAACTAACTAAATATCTTTTTATCATATGACAACTAATTAAATATATTTTTTTGATTTTATGACAACTAACTCAATATCTTTTTGATCATATGACAACTAACTAAATATCTTTTTAAGCATATGACACCTAACTAAATATATATTTATCATATGACAACTAACCAAATATCTTTTTTATCAGATGACAACTAACTAAATATCTTTTTGATCATATGACAACTAACTAAATAACTTTTGTATCATATGACAACTAACTATATATTTTTTGTATCATATGACAACTAACTAAATATATATTTATCACATGACAACTAACCAAATATCTTTTTTATCAGATGACAAGTAACTAAATATCTTTTTTATCATATGACAACTAACTTAATATCTTTTGTATCACATGACAACTAACTAAATATCTTTTGTATCATATGACAACTAACTACATATCTTTTGTATTATATGACAACTAACTACATATCTTTTGTATTATATGACAACTAACTACATATCTTTTATATCATATGACAACTAACTAAATATCTTTTGTATCATATGACAACTAACTACATATCTTTTGTATTATATGACAACTAACTAAATATCTTTTGTATCATATGACAACTAACTACATATCTTTTGTATTATATGACAACTAACTAAATATCTTTTGTATCATATGACAACTAACTACATATCTTTTGTATTATATGACAACTAACTACATATCTTTTGTATCATATGACAACTAACTAAAAAACTTTTGTATCATATGACAACTAGCTACATTCATTTTGTAACATATGACAGCTAACTACATATCTTTCTTATCATATGACAACTCAGTAAACATCTCTTTGATCATATGACTACTAACTATGTATCGTTTGTATCATATGACAACTATCTAAATATCTTTTTTTATCATATGACAACAAACGAATTATGTATTTTTATCACACAGGCCAATGAAAGTGTTCCTTGTAGTCCTTTCCCTGTAGTTCCTGGCTATCAAAAGTCCGAGTTATGTAATCTGACGTTGGAAAACGGCTCCCCTTGGTTTTGTGGTCGCCCGAGCAAACGGGAACTCAATTGTTCAGATTATAAACTTTTCAGTTTATCAAGATTAAACATCACTATGCCAATCACCCCAGCAGAAGATGAATTACTAAAACAAGGGACCAGACAGTAAGTAGTTTAGACATTGTAGAGAAATTTTTAAAATTTGTGTTTGGGCTGCTGTCGCCACTATTTCTGTTACTAAATTACCATTGTTACGCCATGTAAAGTTAAGAAGGTTGACTACATTGCACCCGGTTTTCTCCAATCTGGCTCAGTCTCTCTCTGCAGAACAGCACGACATCTGTTGCTCTGGTGACGATCCCCATGGATA